CGGGGAGGGTGGGCAGGCCCTGGCACAGCTGTGGGTTCAGCCAGGTCAAGCACAGGCTCCAGGTTTGGTGTTCCAGGAAAAAGGAATGGCTGCAATGTCTCTGCTGGGTGTCCCTGGCTCCTGCAATTCCTGGGGACGTTTCCACAACAGACCAGCACAGGTTGACTCAGTTCTTGAGTAAAAATGCTTATTAAAGGAAAAAAAAAAGAAATAAATAAACCAGGGATGTGAGAGGCAGGTTGGGGGTGAATGTGTCGGGTGGGAGGAGGTTGGGGTTTGTTTGCTTGTCTTTGCTATAGAAATAAACTTTTGCTAAAAAATAATTAAAAAAAAGACTCAGGTAGTTTATTTTCTGCCAGCAGCTTCAAACCCCCCCCCCCACACACACACCAATTCAGTGAAATATTCCTCCCGAACCACTGCAAATCCTAAATGTTATTCTGGAAGCAGCCTGGAAAAGACTTGCTTTCCTCCCTTGGAGGGATCGTTTGTCTTCTTTCGAAGTGCAGAGGTTGCAGGCATGAACTTCGAGACTAAAGTTTGTCTTAATTGCTCTGATGTCACAACCTCGCTGGCAGACAAGAGGCAATGAATGAGCCAACAGCCCCGTTCCTCCAGGTCCTTTTGCTAAAGTGAGACAAATTCCCTCCCTGCGAGCCAGGCAGGGCACCGGCGCCGCTGCCATTTATTTATCCCTAACAGTTCGCAGCAGCTCTCCCTGGATAAAAGGTTTCTCTCTCTCTCTTTCTCTCGGATTTGGTTTCAAACTCAGCAATCCCAAGGCTTTTCCTGCTGCTTTTCCTGCCAGGGAGGTTGGAAGGGGAGGATTCACCCTAAAAATCCGTGTGGGATGGAGCTGATGGAGCTGGGAAAACCTGGTTAAAGCGGGGACAGAATTAGAATCCACGTGGTTCATCAGTGGGATCAGCCCAGGGCACTTTGGGGCTCCATCCCTTTTCCTCTCCCAAATCCTGGGATTCGGTGCAGCCAGGGATCTGCCCCACCGGCAGCAGAATTTGGGAAAACGGGGCTGGATGAGAGGGCAGAGGAGGGAAGTTTGGGATTGAGCAGCTCCTCTCAGCCTTGCTGGGCTCCCCTCCTGCCTGGACCCCAATTCCTGCCAGCGGCCACAGCTGAGGGGGAGCGCAGGAAATTCGGATGGGATTGGGCTCAGCCACATCCCAAACCCAGCCCGGGCTCTCCCCTGCACCCAGAACATCCCTGTGCCCTGGGGGGTCCAGGTGAGCCTGGCACGGGGCGCCCCAGCAGCGCAGGAACCCCCAAACCTGCCTGAAGGGATCCCCGGGTGTGGGAACCCCGGCCTTGCTCTGGGGTCCCGTGTGGTGGTGAAATTCCTCCTCCAAGCTGTGATTCCAAAGAAAAACTGCTCAGGCTCTTGCTGCTGGGTCTCAAGGCAGTTTATTGTGAGTTATCTAAAAGATTTTCTTCTGGGTTTGCTCACAGCTCAGGCAGAGGCACACACACACCCTGACACCCTCTCTGTCTGTGTCTTCTTCCCTCCCCACCCAGGGCTGCTGCTCTCTTTTATATGATATATTATGTATTACATGTTTACAGTTTTACCCCAATACCTACTACCTGTATTACAAAGTGCTTTTCTACTCTAAACCAATCTGTGAGTGCCAACATCACCAAGAACATGGAGGTGAGGAAGAAGAAGGAGGAAGAACAGGATCAGCCCACTTTGCTCCATCTTAGAACTTCTGACCCCCATGTACAAAGTAAAACCCCCCTGTACAAGTGTTAAAACCCCCCTGTACAATACTAAAATAATTTCCCCTCTGTTTTGTAGCTACTTTTACTATCCTATCTAACCCTTTGTGGCTGCTTGTCCCACCTCCAAAGTTGGTAACTCATTCCATGGCTCAAATTCAAAATCCCAGCTGTTTCCAGCTGCCTGTCAGGGTCTAGAATGCTTCTGAGCAAGGCCTGGAACCTCCAAAAATGTCTGAGGGACATTTTGAGTTCCAATACCCGGGACTGCAGCACCACCGGGCTGAGCAAATCCTGCCTCGGGCCGCCCAAAAATGACTTTGAGATGGCCAGGACTGAACCGTGCCTTATGGGTAACGTCATCCTGTTCCCAAAATGTCCAGAGAGGGGAACGAAGCTCCAGGGGGATTTTCCTGGAAGCGCTGGGTGCTGGGAAGGGGCTCAGCAGCGCTGCTCTCCCCGCAGGCAGGGGCTGACCCAAACCTGGGCTGCCCGAAGATGCTTTTCCCCCTTCTCTCCTCTTCCCTGCTGCAATTTTTTGGGGTCTGAATTGTGGCATTTCATGGCTGGAAAGGTTGCAGGAAATGCAGCACTATCACACCCTGCAGCTGAGTCCTGCTCGGAGGATGGCCCCCGGGGTGAATTCAGCAGAGGATCCCGCAATGCAGAGTGACCCCAAATCCCTCTCCTCACCCCAGCAGCTCATTTAGGGCTCCCCCACACCAGTGTCACCTCTCTGTCCCCCCTCCTATAACCTCAGCGATGATGATTCCCATGGGAGTGTGGATGTGGGAAAAACTGAATATATCCCGCGTGTGCCAAAACTTCCAATATTT